TATTTTATTGTACAGTACAGTAAGTTTCTTTTTATGCAACAAAATATCACAGTACAGGTACTGTATCTATATCATCACATACGATACAGTATGCATACAGTGAAGTATAAGTTAGATGTGGACAGTGGGCCATCATACAGCTGGGAGTGCTGCCAATTCCCCTGTATTATAAGTTAGATGTAGACAGTGGGCCATCATACAGCTGGGAGTGCTGCCCATTCCCCTGCACCTGTTACACTAAGCAACAGTCCCGCTAACGACCCAATACGTCCGCTTTCAGGAACCTTGCAATCAGTGTATAATATTTACTATGGACCTCGGACGTAAATGCGACTGTACGTTATTCGATAGAATGCAAGTCGACGGATACCTATATATGATCAGACCACTTACAAATAATGAACTTTCTTGAGAATGTTAATTTATAGCTAAGTTTCTATAAAAGACTTCACATTGACTTAACCAGGCTTAGGGTTCTACCATTGTGGCAGCATTTTTAGCTTTCATTTGTATGTAAATGAATCCACCTGGCTTGATGACTGTCATCTAATAACATTGGGTCCTACAAGCCAGTTATAACACAAAAGCCTGCATGAAGAGCTAATTGCGACCGAATAATTTTAAGCTAATACTAGACAGCCTGCAGCACAGTGGGGTCAGATCGGGCCCCTCTCTCCTTTAGAGTTTGTGACATTTGCCCTCTCTTCTGTAGGGTTTATTTTAGGCTGTCATGTTTCCTTCCTCCAATTATGTGTCTGTAAATGAAGGAGCGTGTGTGTGTGGGTGCATGCACGTCAATAGCAACAGCCCTCCGATACCTGACTAGGTGACTGGCAAGTGAAAAGCGGTGGATGGATTTAAACTGCTAATGGTGACGCTTTTATAACATATGGTCCTCACATGCTATAAGACCGGGACCCACTATACAGTCCCTGATTGTATCCATCTCACAGACCTGTGCTTAATGGGAACTGCTGCATCACCCTCTGGATCAATACCTGGCTTAAGGGCCGGTCGTACCCCCACACTGTGCATGCGCACACACACACACACACACACACACACACACACACACCGCATGCATGTACTCTTTCCACAAAGTCCCAGCTCTGGGTTATTATTCCCTGAACCGCTGAACCATCAGCACTGCAGAGTGTAGAAAGTGGGTCAAAGCTGGCTAATCTAAGCTTTGAATCACTCATAAGCGACAGGCCTGAGGCTCCAGGACGCGTCTGAAGCTCGTGGGAGTTGTACTTACACAAAAATGTGCTGAGGGCAGAAGCAAAAATGATTGGTTCAGAGTGATAACCAATCAGATTATGGAGGAGGTGGATCCAAGCAATCAAATGTCTTGGTCACGTCTCCTTTAGTTGCTTGGACCCACATCCTCTACAATTTGATTGGTTATCACTCTGAACCAATCATTTTTGCTTCTGCCCTCAGCATATTTTTCTTTAAGTAAAACACCATAAGTGTGTCTGAACCTCTCCCAGGGCTTGATATCTCACTCTGGACCCCTGTCCCCTCACTACTTCTCAGAGACACAGAGAACTTCATTTGACGCTATTTTCCTGGGAATCCATGGCCCCAGTGCATCACACACAAGTACGCACAATTGGATTGGGTGATTATTATAGCAGTATTGTATAGCGAGGTATTTGGGGTATACTGTGGTATTCTGAAATCCTGCTGATGAAATTTGCCAATCAGTAAGCTTGGCAGCATAATTATATAGGATATAATTAATTATTATAAAAACTGATGACTGCTCCCCCCCTCCACCCCTCCCGCAAAAATGGAGGTCCACCCATTGATCTGACAATGATCTGACACCATTTATCCTCCACATTAACTGGAAAATGATTCTGCTCAGCGTCAGCCCAGGACCCAAACTCACTAAATCCAAGTGTACTGTAAACATGCAATAGCTATAAATTATGTCACCTGCACAGAGATCTAAGCTTGACTATAAAGAGGCACGAGGCTTTGCAGAAGTGTCTAGATTTCCCTGCATAAAATTTCCCCCATCCATAAAATGACAACAGACCATGACAAAAGCAATGACGCTGCCTTACCTGCTCAAAGAACTCATCCATGAAGCGGTCTTTGTCCAGGCTAACAGCCACATCATCATCCTCATCACTTTCCTTGCCCTGGGGGGGGAAAAGGAAGATGTGAGATTAAGCAAACACAAACAAACAATCACGACGCACGACACGGAACAGGGCGGCCGGCCAGAGCCAAGTGCAGAGCCTCAGACCCAGCGAAGCCAGCACAGAGTGCTGTGGCTTCCAGCTGGTTCGGCGACGGGAGAATACGCAGAAATCAATACCTGCCGCAAAGAATCATGAGCCTGGCACTTTAAAAAAAAGGTCAGCTGTTAAGAAGACAAATAGGTACAACACTCCGTTATGGTGTGTATGGGGATCCATTCAGGCTCGCGCTGACAGACACTAAAGCTAATTAGAAACAGCGACTGTGCTGTACTCTTAGTCTGTTACGTTGTTGAGAAGCCCGTGAGGGCTACCGGATACAGCCTCTGATCCGGAACGGTTCCATCAGCACTAATAAATTAATAAACCATGCTGTAATTGCCATTAAACCTAGTAGTTACGCCAAGCCGAACCACACAATTTTGTATGCAAATCAAACTTGTTCCCTACATTATGAAAAAAGACGCCAGTTTCAGTCCATTTTTAAATACAGATTAAGCTTGACCAATTAAACGGGAAATTACTTCAGTAATACGAGTGAAATTTTTTTCCACATAACTGAACAGGCCTGCAGCAGAGAATCTTGTATCATGATGCCTTTATTCAGCATCCACATATCAGTTCAGTTTCAACTACGCCACTGTAATTCGCCTCAGAAATGCCAGCTTAGATTTTTATTTATTTATTTTTTTAAATCGGCAGACGATTACTTCGCAGACAATAGACGGTTCCCCGGAAAAGAGCCGTGCTCACTTCAAAGGCATCCCTTCATCAGCGCTGCATCGCTCAGTGGTTGTTAGTCATCGTCCACTTTACTCAGCGCTCCGCGGTTCACAGTCCGTGAGAGATTTCCAAGGCCTCACCAGAACGGGACTCATTTCGCTTTAGCTACGCTGAAACGGGTCGCGTCTGAGAATGTCCAAGATCGAGAGCTCCGTAAAGGATCGCTTCCACGTTTCCCTTACACTTCTGGTTGTGTTTAAAGGTGTTTATTCGTTTTATTTATGCGTTTTATGCTGTCTGTCTTGGCTTTAGATGTTTTTGTCCTTGCATACAATTTAACACCTTCCAGCCCCAAGTAAACCTGACTTAGCTAGAAACGCCCCTGGAGCCGACAGACAGAGAGGATACAGAAGCTTACTGAAGCCCACACTGACTGTGACGTAGCCAACCAGCTAATCACCAGTCTCACCCACATGATGGCAAAGGGGCTGCAAGGACTCAGGCTCTAATGTTCCGTTTTGTTGTCATTTTGTTGTGAATAGTTCATTTCTGTCGCTATTGTTGTTCTCGGGGGGGTCACCGTAAGCAGCAGGAAGATTGATTAATTGATGATGACTTCAGTGGGGTTTTTCCTTTCTCTGTAGGTTGTTCAGTTGAAGGTACCTGTGTACACCAGGGTTCTCCAGTTCCGGTCCTGGAAGACTAGTCTGCGACACAGTTTGCAGATTTCCCGGCTCAGACACACCGTATTCGGCTCACCAGCTATTTGCCAGGTTTAGTAGGTGTGTCTGAGCAGGGAAACCTGCAAACTGTGTCGCAGACCGACCCTCCAGGACTGGACCTGGGCAACCCTGGAGTATGGATTTTTAAGGCATGTAGCCAACAGCAGTCAGAGTGCTTTGTGAAACAGTCCACCTTATTTAGCAAGAAAATGCTACAGTATGTTCATTTTTAGTGCTATTCCTTACATCATTTTTTTTTGCTGACCTAGACTGAATTTTAGACCGTAGATAGTATTGTGTGATGTCTTATTTTGCATTTTAATAATTGAAGTCTGTATAAATCTCTGGAAATTACTAAAATTAACTATATATATTAGATATACGTAGGCAAAAATAACCGGGCTGCACAATTTTCGGCCAGCCTTGCAGGTAGTATATTTGCATTGTAGAACACACACACACACACACACACACACACACACATACAGAGAACAGGATTCAGCCAAGTGTGCCCCCACCCCCAGTGCTGAGTCCACAGTATGGATGGGGAGATCTGTTGGCGGGGGGGAGAGAACCTCAGCAGGCAGGCAACCAGCTCAGAAAAGGTAGGGGGGAGGGAGGTGGGAAGCCCCCTCCCCTCAGGAATCAGCAGGGTCAGGACTGTCTGCTTTCGGTCTCATCCTTACAGTCTACATCGATTTCAAACTGTCAGGCATGACAGAGAAGGGGAAACAAACACACACACACACACACACACACACACAGACGATCTGAGATTATAAAAGCCAATCATGATGTGTCTGCTCTGTTTTTGACTACACACAGAAAATAACCTGAGGTCACCTCAAACATCTGACAGCCTGGGAGATGGGCGGAATCAGAATTTCAAAGAAATGAGGCATCAGGAACGTTCCGGAGACGGGGTGGGGGAGGTGGACCCCCCAACAGGTGGTCTGACCTTTATGATGATTTGACTGGGGCCTCATAGTCATCAAAATGGAAGGTACAAAGGGATCATTGGGGGCACTGCAAAACAAAGGGGGCACTGCAAAACAAAGGGGGCAGTGCAATGGAGGAAAAATAGTCCTGGCTTGCTCACAGACATTTTCTAAATATTAAGATGTGTCTCCCTTCTGCAATATTTCAGGACAAACGGTCCCATCCATCTTCCAGCCGCTTATCTGGGGGGGGGGGGTTGGGAAATAATTATCCTCCAAATTCGTGCCATGAAATTGCTGAGATTGCAGTGGCTCACCCATCATGCCCTAACTCACACGCAAACACGCACACTGCCCAAACACACACAGCTGCCCAAAAGTCACTGATCAAAAGTCCATCAGCTGTCACCCGGCCAGCCCGTGTGCCGTACATTACCGCCGGCCATCGATCCGGACTGGGCCAGATAAAAAGGAAAACTAGAAAAACACGGGGGGTGAGTAAACAGGCAAATAAACAGCACGAAATGCAAAGAAATTGATCGGCCTGTTACAGCCCAAAGCTGCTAGACTGCTCAGAAGCAACCAGGCAATAAGTCTCTGTCCCTCTGCAAGAATTCTGAAAAAGAATTCCAGGATGGTGACGTCATATAAGGATATCTGGGACAGGCCTTAAAACCTCACCTCACCTCACCGGAACCTCCACCAGGTAACAAGGCCACGGTCTCTGGCCCCATCTCCATCACCTGGTTCCTGAAGCCACCCTCGGCCTCTCCTCCCCGTAACCCCCCCCCACCCCCCCCCAACCGGGTACTGTGCCAGGCGGAGCGTGAAGTCTGCCGAGAGCAGGGTCCTGACTGGCAGAGAACGGGGCAGAGAACGGGGTGAGAGAGACACACAGTACATGGTAAGTGCTTGTTTGTCTCTCAGACGGCTCTGCTCAGTATACAGCTTCACATTTCACTCTATTCCGAATATTATAGATCACATATGATACTTCAGCAAACACTCACAGACATACAATCAAATACATCAACATTTCATCAACATTTGCCTCGGCGACGTTAAACGAGAACCACCCATTGTGTGACACCCTGTGCTTACAGCCCTTCAAGTCCTACATCATCCATCCATCCATCCATCTTCTAACTGCTTATCTGGGAACGGATGATAGGAGGTACAGCCTGGACCGTGTAGGTTGCATGCACACTCAAACACACAGTCATGTGTCATGGGGGAGGGGGACTCAGGAGACACCAAATGCAGGGTGGGGGGCATCTCCCCTCAGCACTTGATGAACAGACCGAGGTTACCCCCGGACAGCGTCGTGCTGATCGCCCTTCGCCGCTGTGCCACGGCCCCCCCAACAGGGCCATCCTGTCACACTAGGCACAATGGGCAATTTAGCAACGGTGATTATCCTAGCTACATGTCTCTGGCCTGTGGGAGGAAACTGGAGCACAGAGGGAACTGGGGGGACAGGGGCGTGAAATCCCTCCCCCCAACAAACATACACACAGACTGGCTGGCATTCAAACCCCCGAGTCTGGAGGTGTAAAGACATCTACTGAGCGTCCTACCACGCTAAGTCTTAATTACAGTGCTAATGACAATGCTCCACCCCCAGGTCATTTCAGCTCAGCTGCCCCGGCACTCAGACCTGCAGCCTTCTGGTCATGTGACCGGGTTCTGGGCTAACATGCCTCAGTCAGAGCATGTTAGCCCCTGTGGCCCCCCCTCCTCCTCAGGATTCACAGGAGATAACAGCCATGTAAAGTACAAGGAACCAGCAGTTTTTTGGGTTTTTTTTCGGGGGGGATTTAACCTGACCAGACCATCAAGAGAGCCCAAAGGATGGAGTGATGGAGGTCCTGGGCTGGGAATTAAGGAGATGGTGTTTGGCCATTTCAAAGGGGGGGGGGAACAATGAGCAAGTCGTGCCCCCAAAGCCAGAGCTGCCGTACAAATCCCATCACAGCAGGAAGCCCACACGACATGAACTCAATTAGCCACGCCCTTCTCACCGCTCCGCTTCGCCCCCCCCTGCCTGCTTGCCTGCCCCACACGAGCCCCTCTCCAAGCGGGGCATGGGGCTACACACACACCATTTCGGCAAAAAGCACAAAAGCACCACTGCCCCGATGACTGCCCCCTGCCCCGATGACTGCCCCCTGCCCCGATGACTGCCCCCTGCCCACTGCCCCGATGACTGCCCCCTGCCCCCAGCATGATGGTTGAATGTCGGCACACAAACTGCATTCAGGGCAGGGCTGACTTGGTAGGTGGGTATACTGATATACCATATTACACCATATAACTGCACACACGCACTTCCCTGACAATTTTAGGTGGGTATATGGTAAATCCACGTTGTTGTTTTTTTTGGAGGTGGGTATACACCATATACTTGCATATACCCACCTATACACCAATGCTGAGCAGTCAAAGGTTCAACAATAAAACTGACACTGAAATGTATCATTAATAATTATATATTCACACAAATAAAATAATTCAATATATTTTAAAAAGGTATTATTTTGTAGTCATTACCTTAATA